ATAATTACAAGAGAACTACACAAGATATGAGATAACATACAAGATAATGCACAGTTAGAGGAGGAATTAACACATTTCATAATATGCCTGAGAACCATCAGGTTTTTAAAATTTCCTCAGTATTAAGTAATTAGGTTCGAATCCAGGTTGGGTCAGGAAGGGCATCCGACGTAAAACACGTGCCAAATGTTAACATGCGAGTCATCAGTGTGACGATTCGCTGTGGTGACCCCTAAACGGGAAAAGCCGAAAGTGACTTTCTTTCTATTAGCGTAATTACATCTGATTATACATAATAAAAATGGACTGTCAATAGCAGATTCAGAAACTTTGTTTTCCACAATGTGTAGGCTAAAAATGAGGCTCAGGCTAAAGTATATCTATAGCACCATTATACTTCATGCTTCTTGTAAAAGGTTACACAAAAGTGAGAGCTTTTAACATTTAATTTTTCTTAAAAATAAATGATTCCGAGATTATGGTGGTTATCAATCATCACTGTTTGTGATGAAAGGGGCATTATTTGTCTATCCTACATTGATAGATAGATTTAAAGAGCACTCAAATGAACAGATGTAAACTTAATAAGAAAGAGGAAATATTACACTGCTATGGATACAATGAGTTACACTGTGGGCTGCACATATGCTTACGTTTTCTAACATTAAGTATACTGAATTAGCTAACAATAGTTCATGTTTGCTATATACCATAGAAGATGCATAGAGAAAGATAGAGATATGGTCTAAATAGCTTTTCTTTTGTGAATACAAATGTGCTAGTGTAGTGATCAACTTGTGGAAAAACTTTAAAGGGGTGAGGACTGTAAATATTCCAGGCCAGTGTGAGAAACATCCATATTTCATACCTATGTCGGCGTAGATTTTCTCATAATTCTCCATTTCTCGAAGATTCATGTCATAAACCATCAACGTCTTCCCCATAGAGAACTCACACTGGGCCAGTATCCCCAACATCCTCTGATACTGAGTAAATCTAAACAGAAATACAAGAAGGTTTGTGGCCCAAAGCAGTTCTTCACCACAAATGTAGAGAAATATCTGGTCCACGGTTGGGGTCTGAAGCGCTCACTCACCCTTCCTCCGGGGTTCCAGGCGAGTTGCACCATTTGGTGAAACTCTTTAGTAGCACATTGATTCGGCGGTCATCTCCAGCCCCGTCCCCGTCAATAAGAAGCCGCTTCCGAATAACTTCATCTGGAAAGGAGTTAAACAGCCTTTCAAATACAACAGGTATGAGAAAGAGTCGTTGAGCTAACCGATAGCTAGCGTTAGCAAACATGGCTATTGTGCATTAGCTACTTTGAACTCAAACGGCTTCTTAAAGTGTAAAATGCGTTAATTTAGAACAGTATAACATGGCACGTATACACACATTAAAAACTCTGCCACACACGTCTACGTAACTTTCATCCGTGTAAGTTTCCAACGAATTAAAAAAAACATCACTAGCCTACTTACCATCTGTAACTGCCCCCATGTCTATACCAAGCTTGATAAACTTTATTTAACATCAGGAAATGAACAACACAACCCCGCCCCTTTTCAGAAGACAGACGGCGGTGATTGGCCAGAGAACAGGAAAGCAGACGGTCTTTAAAAAAACTTTATTAAAGAAAACATGAGTTAATTAAAACAACTAAATAAATCGCTTAATAGTAGATTCAAAGACAGCACAGTAAAAGCGAAAAAATATTCAAGAGAATATTTTCATAACTAGAAAGTTCAGGCTACGTAAACACAAAGCACACATGAAATACAAATACAAATAATAGAACATGATAGTTTCTTGTCTATTTAAAATGGAAAGAAAATATGATTCAGTCTTGAATCAAGAGGTCTTTCTCCATTTGCATAGGTAGATATAATAACCTTAGACTTTTTATGTAATTGGCTTTCAACAATATCAGTTAATTTAAGAAATATATAGACCAGCATAACAAAACGAAATAATAATAAAAACAAACAGCCTAATCTCTACTGAGACAAAACATACACGAGCGTGGTCAACGTTAAACACGTTATTCTGATAAAGTGCTTTACTTTAAGAGAACAGCACAAGATGGGTAGCAACTGAACGTCTGAGTGATAAAGTTAATTGCTAATCCTAAAACCAAGCGAGGCGAAGCTTTGATGGCATTTAAGAAACAGTTTATTTAAAGTTGATGTTATGTTAGAAAATGATATCTTTTTCGCCTTTGTCTTTGTTCTATTTTGTATAAAGTTTTATAAACCTGTAGGCCTAAGTAATTCCTATTTTTCTTTTCTTTAAATTATAGAAATATAGCCTTCAATAAGGGAAAGCGGAGTGCCAATTCTTCAAAATTCAAAAGAAGAGAGAACACAAAATTTGAAAACATGGCAGCATTAATTAGATCGCCAGGGCAGTTAAAGTACAATCACAAAAAAAAAAAAGAAGATTAAAGTACAATCACATTAGTCAACGAAATAGTAAACGTTCTAATTTCCTTTTTAGACTACTTTTAATTTTACATAAACTGTCATTTGTCTTAAATTACCCACCATTTTAAAATTTTAAGTTGATTGCATATTTTAAATGATAAAATGTATGTAGTAGACCTATCGTCCTAGAAACCTCCTTGATGTTGTGTCATACGTTGCGTATGCCAAATGTACCCAGCTTTGTCCCATTGCGTGTCCCTGACGATAACAGGCCAGAAATACTTTGCTGATGTAGGAGATGCTGTATCAAACGGTGCGTGCGTTTTGGCGAAGTGACGTTTATGTCCCAGAATGCAGTCTGGTAAACAGACATGGAAGCACCAGGTGAAGACCTCCACACAGGCTGAGCACTACACTCGCCCTTTCCCAACGTCTTCTCTCTCCTTCGCGTAGTGCATCCAGTTGATATATATCTGCCTGGTGTCACGTTGACGTCTGCAGCATATAGAGCCTCGGTAAGAGTGAAGTTGTTGTCGTCAATCTGTGGTGACTGTTAATGACTTCTGCTATGCTGTCAGGCTTCTGCCAGCTTCCTCGCTAACTCTAGTCATGGCTGGCTACAGGCTCCAGTTAGCTAGCAGGCTAATGTAGCCACCACTGCTCTCTACTAACGCTTGTACCAGTCACAGGCCCACACGGTATGGAGCCTGTTTTCATGACACAACTCATGATACACATTGTGTATTTTTTGTATTTATAATTGTTTACTTTAACTTTTCTATTAACAAATGTTATTATGCGTTTTGGTTGGCGTGTACGTTGGTGGAGGTGGCTAGTCAGTGAAACTGCTGGCTCTTGTTGGTCCCTGCTAGCTAATGTTAGCTAAGTTGACTAACTCAGTTGTCCTGTCAAACTGCTGTGTATTTGTCAACGGCAAATCCTTAATCATAAAAGAAATTACATAATGCTATGTTTTGCCAGTCATGGCCTTTGACATACTGTTTTCAGGCTAAGCTACGAGTACATAATATTTCTATTAAAAGATAGAAGATAATTAGTCTCTTAGATCAGTGTTACATTTTACACAATACATTCACTCCTGTCAGTGTACATAGTGGCAGCTTATTAGGTAAGCCTACATCTAGAGAAAAGTAATGCTGTCTAATCCAGCTGTCGTACAACAAATCCTCCCCCATGAAGTAGATGACATTGTTCAAACCGTTAAGGGAAGTTGTTTGATCCCATAGAGGCTGTAATTTGTGCTGGTGTTTAACTGCACAGTGTTATACAGAGAGTTGTTTCTGTTTAGCCAAATGTTGAGACCAAAATAATAATAACACTTGTCAGTACAATACAATACAGTTCAATAGTAACACAAACTACAGCCTCCAAAGTGAACATACATTTGAACCAACACCTGTCTAAAACTGTCTGAAGAACAAACACTGAAGATTATTATATTCTTTAAGGATGACTTGTCACAGGACTGTTGCATTAGTTTTAGCTTGATGTACCTAATAAACTGCCAACTGAGCATATATAGAGAAGTATAATGGCTGGGCAACAAGTCAAGATGATTTTTAATTGACTTTAAGTGGAACCACATTATTCTAATGTAGTCATAGAAGATTTTGCTGTTCAAATGACTTGTTTCAAGTAATTTATCATCAGAATTAAGAAGCTGACGTGATGAACTTCTTACATATGTAAGACGTTTGGTTTGATATGAGCAGTGAACAGCAGACTACAGTTCACTACATTTAATGTCATTAGATTTTTTTTTATGTGCTTATTGCACCCTTTACCACATTGACATTTGGAAAAATTAGTTCAGTGTGACATTGATTTAAAGCACATTGCCCACTCCTTAGCAGTACTCAACCCGGTCAGTGTCTTTATCTGTACGAATACAGAACAGCTGCCATTCACCATCAATCCTAAATAGATCAGATCTCACAAAGAAACTGGAACTGACCATTAAGGTGTATAATGTGAATGCAGCCAAAGTCTTTAACAACTGCTCAGAACTTTTGATATCTTTTTTTTTATTTTTATTAATACCAGTTAAAGAAAAAGTGAATAGTTCTGGTTTCTTTTTAAGCACAGTTATCCATGCATTTTGGTCTACACTTGAACTGTGCATGTTCTTGCCAGTCCACAGGCTAAAGCACAAGTTGCAGTTTTTGTTTGGTTGTGTATGTTATTCTACTTTTGGCACATTTAAATAAAACAAAAAGCTTTAGAACCACAAGCTACAAATACTGATAATGGCTTCATTCACCTTAGCTTTGCCTGTGCCTGGGCCCTGATACCAGCACTTCTACATGGACCAGATCCATCATTAATGTCACTTACTATACCTGTTAATTAGTTGTGCCTGACCTTGTCCTTTCTGTGGTATAACAAGTCAGAATGTATTTGAAAATGTTCTGTAGGCTACATCAGGTGTACTGTATATATGAAGGACTTTGTTCTTGATAAAGCAGAATATATCTTCCTTAATAGCTTTCATTCATTTTCTTTAACAATTAAAATGTCTTTTGACTTCCTGGAGTCTTGGATGTTTGACCAAAGTGTGAAACTTACAGCTGCATTGTCTTCTGACACTCTCAGTGGTCTTACCAAATGGGTATTGAATGTATATTTTCATGCAGTTATAGTGCATAACATAGTAGTCTAAATATTGTTGGTTATACTTATGGATTTAGGTGAAACTCCTTGTAGCATATTTCCAAATAATATGCAGTTAACATAGTGATTATGGAAAATTGTGTTCCAAGAAAGTCCAAAATATCAGCTGCATTTCTAAAACATAAACTTAAGGAATGCAGCTTGAGTTTGAAGCTACTCAGTTTGGTCATGGCTTTAATAGGCTACAGCAGAAGATTTAATGGGCTGCAGCAAAGGTTTTTGGCAAACAAGTTTTGAAGTATTGTGCAAATTTAAACAAATCTGAAGTAAGTTGTTGTAACTGAGACACAGCTGTTATCACTGTAAGGCTTCATGGGCTGCCTTCATTAATGCATTACACTATGTTCTACATTAGTTGAGACAACAAAAATAATGATAAGGCGGTATGGTTTCAGTCCTTAAAAGGGGATTACTGTGAGGCTGGAGAGGTGGTTAGGGAATGCGCTTACTGGATTGGATTACTGCATAGTGGTGAGTCCATGACAGGGCCAGAGAGCATAGTGTTACCTTCCAGACATAGTCTTAAAATTCCCAGTTCACTATGTCAAGAAACAGCAAAACCAAGAACTTGATACTGATATGTCTTCCCTCAATGTTTGTTTGTTTGTGTGTGTGTATGTGTCTCCAGACTTCCTCTTCAGTGTGTGTGGCAGCCAGTGATTACCCAAACTGATGAGGATCGGCTGATTGAATAAAAAATAAGTTCCTTTTATCTTATTTTTCCAAGGTAAGAGATCACTGTTACTAACTATGACACTCTATTAACAATTAATGTTTTTAGTAGCAGTATAATATTAATCTGTTTTTGGTTAATTTACTTAGGATTTTCATAAAGATATTTGAAACACACATCAGAAAATGGTGGGTCGGGGGGGAAACTAGTTAATGTGTTGTTTACTGTGTAAAGGTTTAATGCCAGATTTTTACTGATAAGGTAGTCATAATGATGCGGGTGTGTTGGAGGAAAGGTAGCCCAGAGGTAGCAAAAGAAAAAGCCCTTTCTGTCACTCTGCTATTAGTATACTTTCACTAAAAGCAGAAAAACAGTTTGTACTGGTGCTGTATTGGGTTGCACATACTGAAGGTGAGCTGTTCGGTTTATTGTGTGTGTTTATTAGGCTTTATATAAATATTACAAACACCTTTCAATGAAATGTAATCCAGTAGAACACCACTACCTCTGCCAACATCTAGCACTGCGCGTTTCACAAAGGCAATATGTAATCGGACTGTCAAATATTGTACAAGGGTCCTCATTTTGCTAGTCATTAAATGTATAATTTCAGTCTGTGATGTTCAGGCTCTAGTGACTGGTTCACATGCTGGACACATGCATGTATAAAAAAAGGGCTATTTAGTGTCATATCTGTCTTAAGAATTTGTGATGATTTTTATGTAAAATAAATAAATAGATAAACTACTACACTTTTGGTCCTATCCCAGACCAGAAGTCACTGCTGCTCATTGAAGATAGACTAATATTAAGTCATCAGTATGTTGTGAAATAAACAGAAGGAGCACAGGGCTCAATTTTGTTCCAGACTTAACAAAACACAGGTTCTTGTAATGTGTGGCTGTGCCTGAGTATGTAAGTCACACATTTCAGTGGAAAACACTTGCTGTGTATGCCTCTTGGAAAAAATATTATTTTTGTGTCATTGTGGGAAATACTTTCATTTAGATAACTGATACAGTATTTTGACATATTGCAGTACACCACTGATTTAATGTAGGTGAGCCAATTAAAATCGCTGTAGAATAAAAAGTATTGACCCACTGTTTGCTACATATAATGCAAAACGTTTTTTTCCCCAAAGGAAATAAGAAGCCACTAAAAGCTGTGTAATGTACAGCATCATGCTTGGTATGTCTGCTCACCCATATTGTAGGTATTGATCTGTGTTTTTAAAATAGGAAGTGAAATGTCTTTGAATCAGTAAGCTAAATGTGATATACTGTCTTGTACTCTGGTTCAACCCTGGGTGTCCGTTTTACATTTTCTGGCTCCAGCAAATAGTCCAAATACAAACTCCAAGCACTTTCTTCAAATGTCAAAGATGCTAAATGCCTTTCTACAGTTAGTTGTTTGTCCTGTGTTCATTATTATTGCTGCATGCAATTGGCATCCTCATAATATGAGCATGTACAGCTATCTTTTCTTAGTCAACAGTGGAATTGGACATATTTACATCTTTTTGAATAGATTAATACACTGGATCCGTTTGTGACTTAATGAAAAATTAACAAAAAAGAAAATGTATTAATGCGGGACACAGGTAGCATCATCAGGGCAAGGTTCTTAATTTGTATTTATGTTTTTTGGGTTGATCTAAAGACAAAGATGAGCTTCTTAACTGTGCACTTGAAACTAACAACAGAGAGTCGAGGCCAATTTTTGCTCAGGGCTCTTCATGGTGCATACCAAATATGAATACACACAACCTTTTTATTTAGTATTCATTTAGTATTAGGAGTTTCTATTACAATCTGCCAGTTGGTTTAAGAAGTACTGAAGGGTGCTTAAAGTGTCCTTGTTATTTTGTCAGACTGATTTGAGAAACAAAAAAATGGTTACATGGAATCAAGCACTAAATCGTTCATATAAAATAGATTGTAAGTCATGGTGGTGCATTATTTTTCCCGAGGTCTCTGTTCTAAATATATTGTCTGTTTCCATTTTTTTTTTAAGCATGTCAGCATTTGTCAGGTTAAAACATGCATCACTGGGGTAGATAACGAACATTTTATTTTGAAATGGAAAGTAAAGAAAGCTTGGCTGTGGATAATTCAGTCTTTACAAGTTTTCAAAACTTAACAAGTCTGCCTTAAATTTCATTGTGTTGTTAATATATCTCAGACATTCTTTTTAATTAACAGTAACATATAATTTGAGCTTGTCTTTATTTCAAAATATCAGGTATTTGGTAAAATATCAGTTGTTGAGCCACCATCTATGAAGATCAAACTAACATTTTGCTATACATATTCATCTACACTATGTTGGTTAATATTTGTGTAAAAACGGTTATCTTAGGACTTTATGGATATTTTTGTATTGCTGTCATTGCAAAGTCTTGTAAAAAATGTAAAGTTTGACTTTTGGAGTGCCATTTGTTGTGTCCTTTCACGGCTGGAATATTGTAGATTTTAAATGCTACTTTTTCTTAGAGGGTAAGTGAGAAAATGCATATTTTGCACCGTAAATGTGCCATAGCATGATCTGTGATACAGTACTCAGAATGTGCATGGTGCAGACATCAACCAAAGTCAAACCTACACAGATGTTTATTAGTCTCAAAGTAAAGTCTCTGTTTACAGAAATAGTCAAATTAAAATGTTAAGTAAATTATATTTTTATATAGCCTAGTAGAACACATATCAAAAGGCAATAATTGATAGAATGTTTAATCTGTTATTGTGAACATTAAAGAAAGATTTAGAAATTTCGCAATAACTGTAAATATTCCAAAATCTAAGTAGCTTTGATACAGTTTGCAAGGAATGTTGACATTCAGTTTCATATTAAAACAACTGTTCGATACCACACTTATTTATAGGCCACTGTATTATGTATATTTTTAAAATAAATTACAGAATACTACACATTGTTGTAGATAGGCTAACCAATGAGTGAGCCAGAGCTTATGTATGTGTGTATTTAATACAGGAGGTTTAACATTAACCACCAAACCAAACAGATACACATTGCATGCAATGCAAGCAATTAAAGCTAAAGCTAACTAGCAAGGAGCCCAGAGACCTTAAGAGTCAGCCAATTTAATGTGTATGCAATATGTCATGTAATTTTAGTACTTGTTGCTTATTTAGTGGCCACCACAGACAGGGCTTTTTTAAGAGGCGGGTTTGGTGAAACAACATGCACTTATGGCAAGCCCCTTTAACATTAAATAGGTGGACAGGACTTACATTTAAGATATCTGCAGTGTATTTATGACTAGTCAAAACTATACGATATCTACACTTAAGTCTTGACTAGACAAAATTCGAATTAAAGATATCTGCAATTTTGGCCAGTAAGAATTCCTCATTGACCTGAATGGGAAAAGTAATTTAAGATATCTACAGTTCAGTTCTGCCTGTCTGAAATGTGAATTCCAGATATCTGCGATTACATTCTGACCAGTCAACATTCTAATTAAAGATATCTATATCGTAATTTTGGCCAGTTATTATTCCAGTTACAGTGACATCATTTCGGATATCCAAAAAAGGAATTGTGACTAGTCGAAATTTTAATTGTAGCTATCTTGTCATTCATACTGGTCTTGATACAATTGCAGATATCTTGATTTACCACTTTCACACGTGACACTGTAATTTCGACTAGTCAAAATGCCGGTTTAGATATCCGAAATCCAATTATGAATGTTCAAGTGAAACGTTTTAAATGTTAAAACCATCTGCCATACGCGCTTACCTGTGTCAGTCAGTGGAAAAAGTCGCCCTATCCCGAGCGCGTCCAACGCTGACTCTTGTGTTGTTACATTGTAGCGGAAAGAATGTCGGAAAGGGCCGAGGATGACGTCAGGGGGGAGCTGCGCCGAGCGGCCAGGCAGCAGCTGAAGCAGCAGCAGATCCAGCGGGGAGAAGGCTCCACAGCAATGGCGACTGTTGCGGAGCGGAGATCCTTACCTAGTCCAGAAATAATGCTGGGACAGCCTTGGAGCAACTGGGTCGACGCCGTCAAACTCCACGGCAACGACGGTGAGTTCCCCAGCGTCCCGAATGTGCGCGAGAAAGCGAGGTAGAACGCGACTGTTGCCAGTCCCGTCCTTTTTTGGCCGATTGCATGCAGTTTTGGTGGAATATGAAGAAACGCTGCTGGTAGCAACAGCACAGGCAGGCAAGCAAGTGCAACTATTTATTTGTCTGTGTGTCGGATTGTCTCATTTTCAGGTGCTGAATCGGAGGAAAGTTTCAAAGACTTCGGGAAAAATCGAGAAGCCATGCGCTTGTGCAGAGAAGGTGAGTTTTTTCCTCTAGGGCCAAAGGTGTGTTTTGGTTCTGGGGGTTTGCACACATGGATTCAAACACTTTACACGCGTTGTTCGTCTACGGTAAACCTACTGTGAAACATGCGCATCACGAATTGACTGGACAACCGGAAATAATGACTGAAACATTGTCTGTTAGTGCTGTGGTAGTTACATATTTCCCTAAAATAACTTATCGGTTAACACATTAGGCTCGCTGTATTTGATTGTGTAGGCCCATTATTAGTAACACAATGTATTCTGGTTGGTCATATTGTGTCCATGACTTAACCGTTCATCATCCATGTTTGTCATTTTACATATGTAACCTTTTATCATATTTTATGTGATCCTCCTTTAAGATAACAGCAAGGTCTGTTGCTTGAAGAACTGTAAGGCAACAATTTTAACAGTTAGTTTGTAGAAAACTCAAAATGAGAACCACAACATGTAAATTAGACTGCTGAAACAGCTAATGGGACTTTTTGTAAAAGCTCCTTCTTAGTCATACATCTGTTAAAATAGGTTACAATATGGCTCACTCCTATTTTCGCAAACTGCCTTAACACAAAATATGCACAACTGTAGCAATTTGTAACCATATATTTAGACATTGTATGCAAAATACTATAGTTACATTTTGAATATTTTTTGAACCACATATAGATATTTAATTTACTGAGGCCTAACAAATCTAAACTCAGTCTGCTAGGATGAAGTAAATCCACTTGGCTTCTCTGATAACAGATATACTGATTACATTTTCCTACTTATAACTATGGTCTTAGGTTATTCCACTGGTTTTCTCTAAAGCTGAAACATATTTTACATTGGGTTTTTTTTTTAGGTTAAAACTATAAAACAGAATAGATCAGTCATGACAATACAAATAAAGGGTATCATCACCTACTGTAGGTGATAAAACCCACAATGTCTGGATTTAGAATAAGCTTCCCCACCAAAGGTAAATTGTTATAACAGTACAGTGGCCTCTGGTTTAATGACGATTCAACAGTCATGCTCCGTTTTCCAGGCTCAAAAAACACACCAAGCTCTATAATTGAAATCAGAATGAGCGAGGTGAAGACAGACCTCTTCATTTAACTCAGAGCTAAATGTAAAGAATGATGACTTTGTTACCACAGCAATACAGTGATTGTAGTTTGATGTCCCGTTGGTTTAATGAAAGGTTTTATGTAGGGCTGACCACTGAAAGTCGACTAGTCATTAGTCAAAAGACCTGTCAGTTGACTGAGACTCTTCTAGTTGAATCTTTATTTTATATTTTATTTTGTTTTTGTCAGCCAATGTGCATTACAATAGAAGGTAACCCCAGTCCCTGTTAGGCTTGTTGTTGTCTTCTCCTCATTTTGGTGTGCCAAGCAGCAATTTGTTCAATACTTACCCCTGTGGTCAGGGAGAAATACCCACTTCAGCGGTGACACTGTCTGATACATGAGTTTATAAGGTCTGACAACACTATTTAGCATACTGCTGCTCAGAACAAGGAGAAAAAGAGAACAAAATCCACTAGGACAAGACACATAAAAGTGAGATGTGTATTTTTATTACAAGTGCTTTCAGACATTGTCGTTTACTTTTTCAAGAGAAAAGACTAACGGTTGCGATGATGTGGCTGATTTTGCGTATGTGTCCGAGCATAGTGTGCCCATGTCTTTTCAAGTTGAATGTGTAACTGTTTATCTTAGGCAATAACCATGCTTCAGAAGAAAAAACTGCCTATAAGAACATAGTTTCAACAGAAATACAAGTCTTCTGCCAGTCTTGTTATTCTGACAAATCCATATTGCAGCCAAATATGTTCCTGTCACTCTGCTATTGGTCTTTTTAGTTATTGATTAGGTAACCTCAAAGATATTTGAATTTTTACATTGTATGTATTTCAGCAACAAATCCATACCCTCTTTTGTTCACTTTGCAGTGAGAATTTTTATTTCTTGATCAAAGACACATGAGCAGGTCATGTCAAATATATAAACACAGGGATCTTCTTAGGATGTTCACGCCATCATATGATATGAAGAACTATGACAGATATGGAAGTATATATGTTGGAATGGTTCTTTCTGGTTGCTATTCACCATGGATTTGCAGAAGAAGGGTAGCTGTCTGAAGTTACATCACACTGAGGAATGACCATTAGCAAAGATGGCGCATATCACTTTGCTCACATGGTCTTAGCCCACACTTGTGTCATCAGTGTGTGTACAGCTTTATTTTCTCTCTCGTGCTCATTCTACTGTACATGTTGCAGTAAAGGAAAGGGTTAATTGCAGGCTATTTGTCAGGGCATTTATCTAATGTTGCACTGGTTAACAATGTGACCTGTGTGCATAATGTAAGGCCATTGCACAAGTTCAGCAGCTAAATGTTATGTTTCATACTTGTAGCATCAAGCACAATGTTTAAAATAATGTGACATACATTGGTAGGAATACATGTTTAGTTGGAGACTTACCTCAGGAAATGTTGTTTCAAGACATGCTGTTTGCAAGTTGATGAATGTTGTATTCCCAGGCTTAGAGACAGAATGGTCTTTTAAAATTCGGTGCTCTTGGGTCACTTGTCATGTAGCTGGCTCAAAACATGTCTTCATCATGTAGCAGCGTCTGTCAGTTAGTGTTGTTTGTGTTATGGGGCTGATCAGCACATGCTGCTCATGGCAGAAGCGTGCATTCATAGAATGTAATTCTCTGTTTGTGTGTGTGTTTCTAGTGGGGGTATTACAAGTGGGTGACTACACCTCTGCCATGACTCACCACCAGATTCCTCCTGTGGTGTAACCGCCATTCTAACACATGCAGATGATTAACACACACACGCATTGTCAAAATGTGTGACAATTAATGACTGATGAATTTACTCATCGTCTGTCTTTGCTTTTTTTTATAATTTTTCAGTGGCACCGTCACATTCAGTGAAGCTGGGAAATGTAGTGCCGCTGTCAGCCACTGGTCGGATTCAGCCAACATGTGTGCTGCTCACAGTCAGCCAGAGCTGCTAGTGTTCCACCTAGATCATTTATCACTGCCATGGATGAGGATGCTGAAATTAACTGGACTCTCATTCTCTTCCTCAGCCTCATGCTCACACGCATTCTTTCTCCTCCTTGAGCGCAGGTCCTTCACTCCCTCTTTCTTTGTTTTGCTAAGGCCTCGGCCTGCTTCTCTGCTCTGTTTCTTTCGGTTGTTATTTCTTCATCACACTTGTTTTTTGGCTTTGGGCATTTGTTTTGCCTGCACTTTCTCCTCCACAGTGACTTCCTTCCCCCCCCCTCTCCTTTTCGTCTTCTCCTTGCACTCTTCCCCCCACCCACCCTCTCCTTTTCGTCTTCTCCTTGCACAAGAAGGAAATGCAGATTGAGATCGGGGTAGACACTGTGGCGTTAGACCACTTTTCAAGTGAGCCCGTTTTAGTGGTACAGCCAGTATGTTGAATGCAGAATTGCTGGGAGATCTAGGTGTGCTGCTTTTATAGTTGAGCAACCAGTTTGGAAAACGCTCCAAGTGAACAACAGCAGCAGTTTGGGAATGAGTCTCCTTTGAGCTTGCTATTGATCCAGTGAAGAAATGTGGTTGGCCTGCTGGACTTGGCAGTTCTTGGCCAGTTTTAACAGGAGGTCTGAGAAAAAGTGGAGTTTTAATGGGGAATAAATACATGGGACGTTATTGGTTTAGCAAATATTTCTTTCATTATAATTTTAGTTTTCTAGTGGTAAAGGTGAATGACTTGCAGAGGAAATGATATGTAAACAGACATGCAGAACAGTAAAGTTGCCCAGAACCTTCAGGCCATTTTCCATCCATAGTTAATGCCTTGCACTTCTGCTTGTGGCAACCAGTGAATCCTACGCACCACATCACATCCCTGCACATGTTCACTTTGCAGAACAGACCATTGCTTGAGCACATCAGCAGTGTGGTTTCTGAATCAAGGTCTGTATCATTTACATTCCTTTGTCCATTAAGTGAAGACATTTGCCTTTTCTCTGTGGCAGACCCCAGCTGCTCTGAAAATAAGTCTTTTCGCTCCACTGCTGTTGAAGGAGACACTTAGCAGACTGGCTTCAAGCAATTGGCACACATTAAGTAGCATCAGGCTTGTCAGTTCATCCATATGACCTGCCTGAGAGGGAACCCACCACGTAAACCCTTTTATATGGTCTTTGCTTAATGGCCCTCGTCCCTTCCAGACTCGGCCAGTCATGTTTGAAGAACCCTTGACGGCTCTGGCGTACTCTGGAGTACGTAGTGGAGAGGGGCTCCACTTCTCTCTCCTTGTATCCTCTCCTCTGTTCATCTCGTCATAATGCCCCAGGCAGTTTTTTTTTTAAATTAGCCTCATTAATTAGGTGGTTTTTGATTTTTTGCGCCAGGGTAAATTTTGATCACATTCTGGTGAGAAGCGGCACTTTCCTCTGATTTGTGTTAGAGTGGCTAGTGAAACGAGAGGCTCTGTGGTTCCTGCTATTGAGTGGTTAGAGATGCTGGTGCTGCAGACATTCTGTTCATGTACCGTGGCTTTCATGATTGCTGTGCCTCTGTGGTGTCGTAGCATCTCTGTGTGCCAAAGGAAGACGCTGCCATATGAGTAGCCAAACGTTTGTATAGGTCTCTGATTCTGTTTATATGTTCACTTTTCATTGTTACCCCATAATGTTTTCTTGTATTAAACTTGGGCTGGCTTATGGTGAGGAGGTTTCAGACGAGCCTTGACTCTGAACTCTTTTTTTTAACTAATGATTATTTTTGTTATTGATTTATCTGCTGTTTATTTTTGCAATTGAAATAATAAATTGTTTGATCCATAAAAACAAAAAAATGTAACGATCCATCAGTCTGGATCGATGCATCGGATCAAATAACCAGCGTTCTGATATCATCAGTGCAAAGTGAAAACATTAGACGTACCTTTATTTTTGCACATTTCCATTCACATTTCTGTTGAAGCGCCTTTTTTGTAGCATTCTCACTGGAAATTCACACTAAAAGCCAGACGCAAGCAGTGCAAAAGTGCTACTGAAGGATTTGATCCGTTCAACTTACACTGACTTTGATCAGTGCAGCATCTTTGTTGCTAGAACAGCTGTCTGTCTGTCAGCAGCTCTCTATGAGCTTAAACAACTGTGGTTGGACAGACTGTCTTCGTCAGGCTGCCCCGCAGCAGGAAGAAATCGGCAGCATTTTTATGTACAGATTTATTGATTTCCTCGTCTTGCTACAGAGGGCCAGGGAAAGTGAAACCAAAAGCAGTGACAGCAGAAGCCTGATCAGTCATAAAGGAGACTAGTAAAAAGTTTGCAGCCCAAAAATAATAACAGATGATTTGTAGTTGTAATCTTCTGGTTGTGGAAATTATGCCTCTGTAAATGCACCAGAGGGAAAAAGTAGATTTATTATATAAAAAACAGGTGACACGCATGTCTCTGAGACGGTGTGGACTGACACATTTGATAGGATGGAGTTCTGTCTTTGTTGATTGAGAGGTGAGTGCGAGCAGTCAAACGTCTAAAAACACTAACAGGTAAAGTAAAACTCTCTCATCACAAACAAGTCACAGGTGTGGAAGTATTTCATTTTAAAAAGGACACATGCACAACCCTAAGTAGGAATGCGATGTTTTAAACTAAAATTCGGTGGATTTATTTTCCCCATTGTTTTTATATGTGTGGCAGTATAAATGTCCTATCTCAAAAGTCAGTTTGTGTTGAATTTGAAGGCCATTGTGGGTCTTTATCTTTATTTACATAGCACTTTGTAGTGAACAGAGGAGCTCAATAAAATTTCCAAGTTATATTTTTGTTGCATTTGTAAATTAATAAAAATAGGCTCATCCTTTGATATCAATCGCAAGTCCCTGTGTTGAATCAAATCAACACTTTGGTACACTTTTGAGATTACTGACAAACGTTGCATCACTGGCTAAGAGAGTCGGAATAAGGTTGTGATGGAACTTGTGAAATACACCCCTAACCACTTCCTTGAGCTCAGTGATGTCTTTAAATCACTTGTTTTGTTTGACCAGTAGTCCAAAGCCCAAATGTGTGCATGTAGTTGACTAGCACAAGAGAGAAAAGCAGCAAAGATGGGAGGAGTTGCCTGTTTTTTGTTGTTGTTTTTATGTCTAAAAGAGACAGTGAAAGCAGGTAACCTTTGGATTGCTTGCTCTTTTGTTGCTTCTTTTCACTAGGACATGATCTCCATGGTGAACTGGGACTAGTACTTGGGAGTAATCTGTATTTGCATGTGCAGACTTTGCATGTCGCATCTCCTTGACTGAGGAGTTTTAAAATAATCTTGGTATGATTAAGATGTTGGATTGTTTTTTTTCTTCTTGGTGTTATAAAAAAACAATCCAACACCTTAATCATCATGCAGTTGAACTGGAGTTACTGTCTTGGGCTGTTACATCATTGTGACAACAAATGACAGGTGTTTCAGTGTACAAACAACAGCTAACTTGGGCAGCAGGTGAACACAGATCTGTTTCATTTACCTCTCCTTGACTTGTGCCCTGTCTGGTTCTTCCCGTCTACAGACATGCCCATATTTGGCCAGTGTCCCGCACAGGACGACTTCTACCTTGTGATGTGCAGCCACTGCGGTCAGGTAGTCAAGCCCCAAGCCTTCCAAGCACATTATGGTAAGTGTTGTGTGGGCACACACATACATACACAAATATGCATGAATTAGAGCACTAATATATTTAGTCATCATTCATGCAAACACCAAGCAGAGTTGCATTTAATCATTTTTAAATTTCATAGATCACCCAGTAGAAGGATGGGGTGCATGTGGACAGTTAGCATCAACAATGAAGTAACAAAAGTAGTTTTCAACTGTGGGAGCCCTGTACTCATTTCGTATAGCGTTTACATACAGCTGATGGTACATTAACACACTCTGTGGTGTTACTTCTCCCTCTACCTTTGTGTTCCACCACCACTTTTCCTTCTCCACACAGCAACCTGAGAAAGGACACCACAGACTTTGATTTATTTTTCTCACTCATTGTCTCACGTGTGTGTTTGCAGTTCCTCTGTTAATATTTGATGTCTCTGTCTTAGCAATAATGTACAGTTTTAACACATACCCATAAGATCAGATTACTGGTTCCATTAGTACTCCAGGGATGTGTATGTGCATGCATTTCAGTGTATGGATTTCCAATTCTTAGCTGGATCTTTGACTACAGTGCTAAAGTAAATGGATGAATTATAGATTTGTCAGTACAGGGATTGCATCACTGTAGATCTTGTTAAACTTGACAGTGTTCACAGCAAAGTTCACAAACGCACCACAGTTGCTGAAAGAAATAAGCTGTCTGTTCACTCCCGAACTCATTTCCTTGAAATGGTGAGGAAAGCTTCTTGTGACACATCCAATTTTGTCCCATCCTACACTCTCAGCATCTGAATCACAAATCTCTGAGAGCATTCTCTTCTTATAACTTGGATCTTATTTGTCCTAAATGTTTTCAGTGGTGTGCATTTACCATGAAATGCGACAGCAGTTACAGTTGTCAAGGTCAGCCACAAGAGGGAGGTACAACAGTTCACGGCCCCTGGAGAAAGTGTCCTTGCTACTGTGTCAGTAGCACTCAAAACAAAGTAGTGGGGGAAAAAAAACTCCTCCCAAACTGTTAAACAATACAGACCTGTGCAAGCCTGTCTGGACCAGACTATTCCGTTTGTATTACAGCATCCACTGGAGTTTCAGTGCTACCTGGGAATTTAACATGAGACCTAGATAAACACTTGAGGGTATTACAGTGCCTGGAAAGTAAAACAATACTGACAACTTCACAGCAGGTGTCCACACACATCTTGAATTGGATGGTATTGTTGATGCAGACTGTGCACAATCTCATCCATGGAGTACAAACACCCCAAATAGTGATTTGACAATTATTTCAGGATATATTTAGCCATTTCTTTCCTCTCTTTGTAAAATATTTTTATACTAACTATTAAAGATGCACCAGTCCAGCCTTTTCTCTCCCAGTACTTGGGGTGGGAACTAAGGACCAGTCTTAAATTGGTACCAGTCTCTTTAACAAAGTACCAGCTACAGGAGCATTTTGTTTACCTACTGTTGAATTAATTTTTTCCCCCTGCATTCAAGCATCCACAATTGATGATACACTTTATCCGTTAGTCAATAAAATGTCAGAAAATAGTAGAAACTAGAATTACTGCTTCGGTTGTATGGCTCTGCCAACCAGTCAAATTCATGGTAATGGGACAGACTTGAGGACACTGACCTTTACTTTTGACCACCAAAATCAAATCAGTTCATCCTTGAGTCCAAGTGCCCACTTGTCCACATTTGAAGAAATTCCCTCAAGGAATTCCTGAGATATCACATTCACAAGAATGGGACGGATGGACAACCTGAAAACAATGCCTCCGGCTGTGGCTCTCGCTGGCACAGGCAAATGCAAATTATGATTGCCCAGACTGATGTTGTCACTACATTACAACACCAATTATTTTCAATTTGATATTGAAAATGATGCAAAGAGCAGCATATCTTCACATTTGAGAAGCTGGAACCAGAGAACATTTGGCATGTCTTGTTTGATATACCAGATCAGTGAAATTCTGTGGTTGTGCTACTATACGTGGCCATAGAGAGTACGAGAGTGCTTGCTGTGATTTTTTTTTTTTTTTTTTTTTTTTTCCCTCTTGTCTTCCTCTCTCTGGTGTTGTTATTTGTAGACCCATGGGGCGTTAACACTGAGCTACAACACTGATCTCAGCACCATTGAGGTGGTCCCCATATGATTTTAGCTTGCTTCTTTGAGCCCATCTGTCTCCCGTTAGGTGTTTGCGCTTCTCGGCTGAGGCTGATCCCAGCAGGGGTGACACTCACCGAAGAACAGGAAGCTTCAAGCTCGGCTCCTGTTTTGTGCATTAAATTATGAACTTGCAAACAAAGACTTGTTTTTTTTTTGGATCATGCATCTTGAGCTTAAATAGCAGTTATTCTAATGAAATGCATTTATAATTTTTGCCTTAAGAACTATTTGTTTATAAACAAATAGTTCACAGAAGCCTGGCCATGGTCATGCTTCGACTTAAACATGGTGCCTGGGGAGAGTGTAGTAAGGCTGTTTCACTTGGACATTGGTGTTTTTCTCTCACTCTCGCTGCCAGGGATCTCCCTTAGCACTAAGCTAGCTGTTTGACAGTGTGAAAGAGGATGTTAGGGCTCCTCCTATTGTCTGTTGTATTTTTTTTTTCCTCCTTCGCATTGTGCTTCACTCTTTATTCTTCTTCCACTGCCACTGGTACTGGCTCTCATTTCTCAGTGTTAGTACTCTGTGAACAGAACACCGCGTGTCATGCTGGGGTTTTCTGCTGCGATTTTGTGTGCAGGGAGTGC